GCCAAGGGTGTCTCCGGCAGGGATGGGGAGGGTGAAGGTTGGGGAGCTGTTTCCCCCACCTCCTTCTGTCCTCCCATCTTGCTTCCAGAAGCAGGCAGTGCTTCGGCAGAGGAAGTAAACAGAGTGGGAGGAGCTGCACCTCTTCCTTGCCGAGGCTTTTCTCCCAGGCATCCCCATTGCTGGTGGGTTGGGTGTTCCATTGTCCGGGACTTACCTGGAAGCTGGTGTTCCCTGAAAGAACACTTGGAGCCCGAGCTTTAGTGTGGCTGAAATCCCTGTGCTGTGCTCAGCGGAGCTGGGCAAGGCGAGCACGTCGCTCCGGAGGGGAGCCGGTCGCTGGGACAAGGGGGTGGCCGGCACACGCGGTATTCCTGGGGTGCTGGCAGCGCTCTGCTCCGATCCAGCTGTTCCGGGGCTGGTGGGAAATTGGGATAGAGGAGAGCAGGTGTTTGTAATTATGGATCAGCTCATGCCGGAGCACAGGGATGGAGGCCGCCTGTCCCTGTGGACTCGGAGCAGGATCGGCCTCTCATCCCGCATGCAGCTTTGTCCTGGGGCCTTTCTAAATAAACAGGATGTGTCGGCAGCAAAAACAAGCAGCAGCGATGTGAGGAGGAGGAAGGGTGGTCCAGCACTTACAGCGTCTGACCTGGGAGGGAGGGACAGGAGGGACAGCCCTGCCCTCTGCCACAGGCATCTTCCCTGGCCTCGGGCATGTCCCTTCACCTTCTTGTGCAAGGTGGAGAGCACGTACCTGCTTTGCCTCCTGGTGACAGGGTGTCTCATCCCCAGAGGGGGCAGGGATGTAGGTGGAGGGAGGTTGACGCTTGCTGGGAGCTGAGCAAATCTAGTGCTGGGCTTTGGCGTGTCCGCTAAGAGCTGACCCACCTGCTCGTCCACCTCTAACCGGGGCAGCGTGAATCAGAGGGAAACATCGGCTCGTAATTGGGGAAGCATTTCCTGGCCTGTCACGCTTTGGGATGGCGTCCCGTCCCTTGAATCATCCAGAGCTGGTCTGCATCCAGCACTAAGAATAGCCTCCCTGTGTGCCAGGAGCGGGGGACCGGCCGGCCCACGGTATCCCGGCTGTGGCTTCCTGGTGCTGTGCCATGCCATGGTCTATCCGGCTCTGATGCTGACCACGCTGAGGTTTGGGGTAGAGCATGTAGTGTGTGATGGGCTGAGGCAGCTGCTGCGGTTGGTCCCTGTGGGTCCCACCTCCTTTCTCCACGTGCTGTTTGTAGCTGAGCTCTCACGTGGTTTCATTCAGGACCCCAGGGTGCCTGTTTCCCCAGGGCTCTGGGTGCTTCAACCAGACCTGCAGCCGCCAGCCCGGCACATACCCCTGGGTTGGGATGTGAGGTGTCATTCGTGAGCGTGGCCGGCCCTAGAGGTGTTTCCCTGGGTGTTCAGGGGGTGCCCCGCATGTAGCCAAGCCCTAGCACAGGAGATAAGCCATCACCACATGCTTGCCAGGGTTCAAAGCAGTGTTTGGCCTTCAGATGCAGACATGAACACAGCCACGGGTGGAGCTGGGGACAGTCTTCCCAGCCCCGGCCTCACGGTGATGGTGCTGCTCCATTTATGCTTTTCAGCCTGGTGGGAGAAGCCTGGCAGGTGAGAGCCATCCCGTCCTGTCCAATCTGATCCTGTCCCATCCCATCCTGCTGTGTGCAGGGTGCTGTGCCTGCCTCGCTCTCACTCGTGGCATCTGGCATCCATCGGGCTGGAGCAGGGCAATCACTAGAGGGCATCCTTGGATCGAGACGCTCCTCTGCAGTGGGAAAAGCCCTAATTTGATGTCCAACCAGGCTGGGCTTGAAACCTCCCAGAGGAGGGGGACACACAGAAGCCAGGCCATGGGCTTTACCGGTTCTTGTCATACTGGAGCTCAGCAGATGCCTCTCCAGGGAAGCACCCACATTGCAGCGTGAGCCACCATGGCTACTCGCAGCTCTCCCTGCCTTTCCACCCCTGCTTTTGCAGGCTGGCACAGGGAAATCATTAGCATTGCCACAATCCCAGCCTGTTCCTCTGGGGAGGAGGTGTGGCAGCTGCTTGGGGTGACAGCCCCCTGGTTCAAACAAGCATGGAGACAAGATGAGATGATGTTGAAGCTTCCCCTGGGAGCCTGCGCCGGACTCATGCAGTCACAGCTGGAGGAGAGCTGGGTTTACACTCCAGGGAGGTGGGATCTTCAGGATGCAGGGTTTCCCCATCCCTCAAAGAAAATATTCATGATGGGGTGGTAGAAATGCTGCAAAACTCACCTGAGCTCCCCTCCCCAGCCAAAGCACTTGGTGAAGGGATGGGTCTGCCCTGCTCCCCCCGACCCTCGGATGTGACAGCCCTCATCCCATGGGTGTTTGCTGGGGCTGAACCCATGCTCAGGGTTTGCCCTGGTGTGACTCAGGGAGTCAGCAGGTTCAGAGCAGCCCTGGGGAGACATGCATGATGATGCCCCTTGCTCCTGTGCAGCCAGGCAGGATCCCAATCCACCTCCTTTACCCTGGGATGGGAACTGGCGAGGGCAGCGCCTGGCACAGCGGGTACAACGCTATTCTTGGCCACTTGCTGCAGGAGACAGCTCATTCCCAGAGCCTTACAGATATATGGACTGGAAAATCTTAACTGACTGAGTGTGAACTGTTCCCTGGTTCCCCTTCCTGTGGATCTTCCCAGCCTTGCATCCCACGGAGCTGTTCCTTGGGGGTACAGTGGGGGTGTGAGCTGATGTGGGTGCATTCAGCATGTGTGTTGGCATGGGGGTGCTGCAGGGGCTGGCCATGCCTGCCACACATGCACTGCTGAGCCGTGTCCTGGTGGCACAGCTGCCTCCCCCCATGCAAGGAGGAACTGAAAGTCCACAGGGATGCAGTGATGGCAGCGCTGTGTTTTAAGGACTTGTGTTGAACCAGGGCCTGGAAGAATCAGCAGCTTGCTCGTTCAAGTGCTCCAAAGCCTGTTGTGACAGCTCCATGCTTCTCATTTTAGCAACAGCCCGTGGGGCAGAGGGTTTAGCTTACACCCAGCGCCACTGCTGCAGGGATGCCCGTGTTGGAGGCAGCCTCCCAGATCAGGGACAGGCCTATGTCACTGGGTGGAGGGATGCAGGGACACCTCATCCACACTTGCTGAATGGCTGTATGCCAACCAGGCCAGGCCACTTGGGATCATACTTTCTGCTGATAAATCCACTTCAAGGCAATTTCCCCCGGTTACATCACCGAACCCTTTCCTAAGGGATGGTGGAAGCCCTGCAGCTTGGTCAGGGGCTGGGCGAGCCTAGGGTAGGTTTCCTGGAGCAAGCAGCCAGGAGCAGGATGGTTTAATAAATCATTTCCGCCTCTAATTTCTACTTCTCTATGAAATGCCTCTTGGTTGCCAGTCGCCAGAGGGAAGGGAGGTCAGGGGAACTAGGCCTCCCCAGCATCCTCCTTCCTGCAGCTGTTGAAACAAAATCCAGAGCTATTATAATCACTGTGTCCCTCCCTCGCGTACCATGGCCCGAGCGATAGTGTTGGAGCAGCTGGGTGCATGACCATGTCAGATGCTTGAGAAAGAGATCACAGCATTGGTATTGTTGAGTCTCGGGGCATCTCTGGTACCCCCATCTCCTTCGTGTTGCAGCAGAATGAATCCCACTGGCTGCAAATCGTGACAGTCATCATCTGCAGGGAACAGGGGGGTTGTTCTCACCTCCCTGCTCACTGCCTGACCCCAGGGGAGCCACTGGGGCTGTCCCACTGCCTGCAACAGGAGCCCAAACTCCCTCTGATCTCCCCGGAAAGCTTTCGGCCCCCTTGGCCTCCGCAGCACCCTGCTGTACCCTCTGCCTGCAGCGCTCTTTCCTCTTGGCCGCTTGCCCCCAGCATTGTTTCGAGGCGTTTGTTTAGGTTGGCCCAGGTGCTGTGATGAATCCGCCTCAGCACTGAGAGGTTGTTTTGTTTTACGTCCCTTGTTTTGCAGCAGCAGCAGCAAATGCCCCGGAGCGGCCAAGAAGATAAAGATGAAAAAGAGAAAGAAAAGGAGAAAGAGGGAGAGAAGGAGGAAGACAAGCAGGAAACAGAGAATGACAAAGAAGAACTGACAAAGTAAGGACAACTCTCCCTGCCTGGCGAGGGCTGGGGCTGCAGCAGTGGGATGTGGTGGTGGGATGCAGCGTTAGGGTGCAGTGGTTAGACATAACATAGTCCAGGGCTGTCTGACCCCGTGCAGGACCATGTGTGCCCACTGCACCTCCTCCGCAGGGAGGGAAGAGCAGAGCCTGCTCTTGTCTTCATTCCTCATCCCTGCTGCTCCCAACCTAGAAAAACAACTCTGATAAGCTCTTTTATATATATAAACACAATCAACCCTCAAAGCCCCTCTGATCCTCCAGTTTGTTTTGCTGTTATGAGAGCCTCTGGGAGTCAGAGAAGCAATCTGGGCACAGCCGAGCGCAGCATTTCACCTTTAGCATTATTGATGGCTACGTGAGCGCTCTCAGATGAAGGGCTTCAGCCAGCCCTGCCTCCCTTACACCAAACAGGGAGTGTCGGAGCCGTGGCGGGGAAAGGTTGGCACGCAGACCGCTAGCTATCTGTAATGGGCTTAATACTTGGTTTAAAAGAACATCTGGCTTCATTATATCTAGGCTGCAAAGACATTTACCAGCAGGTCCTTTCAGGAAGATAAATGAGGAGGAGGCAGGGATGAATTTGAATGGTCTGGTATTAAACCTGTCTCTGTCAGGTCTCTGCGTGCACTTGGTGGTGGAGCTGCAGCCAGCTGCAGAAAGAAAGCCCCACCACAAATCACCCCACCGCCAATCCCAGCCAGGAAAAGAGCCTGCGTGTGCAAAAAAAAATGCAGACCTGCTCTCCCCCCCGCACCACCAAAGACCAACAAAAACCCCTCATCCCCAAACACGTGTGGAGGAATAATTGCTTGACCTAAAAATCAGACCAACCCAACAACAGGTTTTTTTTCCCTTTCCTCCCTGATTTTGCAGGGACAAGAACGATGACACATCCGGGGAAGACAACGATGAGAAGGAAACGGTCACCTCCAAAGGTCGGAAAACTGCCAACAGCCAGGGCAGGCGCAAGGGCCGCATCACCCGCTCCATGGCCAATGAAGCCAACAATGAGGAGGCAGCTGCCCCACAGCAGAGCGCAGAGCTCGGTAGGTAGCAGCGGGCACAGGGACAGGGGGACATTGGCAGGGCTTTTGAGGTGTCCTCTCTGGTGTGATGAGGCATCAGTGTGCTCTGCTCCTGCTCATAGAGAAGGCTTGTCCTTCTTGGAATCCTTCCTTTTGGGGAGCAGCAGTGAGGTTTCTCCATCCCACAAATTACCCAGGGCAGTTCACACAGATAGAGCGGAGGCGTTTGCAAGCTTGGGCTGTCCTGGCTGTTAGTGTGGTTTATAGCCTCAGAGAGAAAGTACTGGAGAAGACAAAGAGGGTTTTTAGCAGCACTTTTGGCTCAGTTCATGCAGGGCTTGTGTCTTTTCTGCACCCAGAGGTGTGTTTACTTCTGCAACAGTTCGGGCTTTGAGTACCCTTGATTTCTGCACATGAGCCTGCTCTGCCATCCTGGGCTTGCCTGGTCTCTGCCAGTTCTCCTGCCCTCTCTGTTTCCAAATCTGCCTGGAGCCCAAGCAGCTGCAGCCTGTGGGGTTTATGACCCCCGGCCTTGGGAATTTGGCTGTTCCCTTCCCATCTCTGCAGCTGAAGGATGTGGTGAGGGGGCAGCGGTTTACAGCTGAAGTCATGGTGTGCACTCAGGTTGCATTTGTTTAGCCCCAAAAGCAGCATTTTCCATGCCAGTCCCTAGTGCCCTGCCTAGTGAGCAGGGTCAGTGAGCCCCCCTAGCCCATGGCTGTGAGCATGATGCTGCTGCACCAGTCCCAGGCTAGACAGGAGTTCATGGCAGCATCTGTAGCCCCACATCAGGTGCATCTGCAGCATCAGTAGTGGTCACCCTGGGAAATTGCTCATGTATTGACTTAAAAAAGCCTTACATCAAGGAATTTGGCTGGTTTTCCTATACTTTCTACTCTTACCAAGTACAAACTTATTACTGTGCAGGTAAAAGGCAGGTGAAAATAAAAGCAGGGTGACTCCTCTCGGTTTCCTTGCTCTGCAGTTTCTTGCTTGTTCTGTTCCGTGTGCTATAAATCACCCGGAGGTGTTTCGCCTCCCTGTTCCTCTGCTGACAACTGGCTGAAGCCTTGATTGCGAGCGCTGTTTTCATACAGGCGATATAAATAGTTCCCGGCACAACAGAGCCCTGCTCTCCCTCTCCAACTTGTTAAGCAATGCTGCAAAGAAGCAGCAGATAATGGCAGGAACTTAGATGGGAATTTTTTTAATCCCAGCATCTCAGAGTCCTTCATAAACTTCACTGCAAACACAGAGAAGAGACTTTAGTCCATGTTAAATTGGGAAAAGGGAATGGATCGATTCCACTGACGTATCTGAGCAATTGGTTTCACTTCATGTCTCTCTAATAGTGCTTTAATTTAGGTTGGCTAAGAAAGTTATTGCATTTTAAATACCAATTGAACATTAAAAAACAACACAAAACCGTATTGTGGTTTAACTGCAGCATGCCGGAGCTCCCCGTAGGCATCTGTTTCATAACTGAGCAACCTCAGTAAATACCATCAATCACAGCAAACGGGCCGTTTCTTTGACATTTCTTTCCCATACAATAACAGGGATCCTCCAGCTGAGCGAGGGGCCTTGCAGCATGTTGGGGACACTCACTTTTACGTAAGCCAGCATCGTGGCCTCGGCTCTGCCCGCAGCCAGAGCAGCCAGGTCTCCATTTCCCTCCCTCTTGGCCAGCATCCCAAGGGGAAAAGGCATTTCTAGGGGGAGGCTGTGACCTGCGTGGACTTCCAGGAGGTGGCACCTGCAGTTGTGCTCAGCCAGCTGTGCAGGAGATGCCTCTGCTCAATGCTGTGGGCATCAGAGCCCGTGTTGTCCTCTCACAGCGGCTCAGCTTCTTCGAAGATGCTTCCTTCTCTCCTTACCCATATCCTTTATCCTGAACCTATCAGCCTGTTTTCCATTTTGAAAGGACACTGTCAAAACATCTCTCATCACTGTTGAAATAATGCTTTGCCTGTTGTTTGGAGTAATAACCCCTTGGCAGCCTGAGCCGGAAATCTGTTTCCTTAACCAAGTTGTTTTTTGCCTCTGACTCACACCCTGGTTTGTTATTGTACGGTTCACTCTAGTGCCAGGCTGCCAGCAGGACTATTGCATAGTGAAGGCTTTATGCAGGACCTCGGTGTCCCCAGCACCGTGCTTGGGATGGGGGAGAGGGGGAGCACCAGGTGCTGACATTCCTCTCCCGGCTGGAGCAGCACATCCCCTTGTGATGGGCGCCGCTCTGGGTGAGCCCTTAGTAAGGCTGGACATGGCTCTGAGGTGTCCAAGAGCCTGGTGATGGCACGGTCAAGCGTGGCCAACTCCCTTGATGGATGTGGTCAGCCAGTCACCACCGAGGTGACGCTGTTCCTCCGTCTGTGCCGAGGGTGACGGTCCCTCCCTGCGTCTGCCGCTTCCAAAGCACGCAGCCGAAGCCAGCTCCGTCTTCGGTACCTGTTGTTGGCGGGCCAGAGTGTGGAAATCTGCTGCCACCCTCAAGCCATCTGGCTTCACTTCCAGTCCCAAAGTAGAGGTTTTGCATCACTGAGACACGTCCCAGGGAGGGTGCTGTGCATGGGTTACCATGGCGTGGAAAAGGCTTGAGAGTCTGCACCACGACAGCCTTCCCTGCAGGAACACTTTTGCACTACACAGCATTTTGTTGTGCTTGTGGGGGACAGGGCACAGGATGAGATTTGGGCATCTCCGAGCTCCCTAGGCTTGCTGGTTCCCACTCACAACTGACTGCTTTCTTTTCTTTCCTCCTTTCCAGCTTCTCTGGAGATGAATGAGAGCTCTCGCTGGACTGAAGAGGAGATGGAGACAGCTAAAAAAGGTGAGCCACTCGTTTTCTTTCTGCTGTTTGTTCTGCTGGAGCTAACCCAGCAATCAGGGATGGATAGCGTCTGAGCGCTGGAGTCAGGGCAGGGTGGTGGCCCTGAGCTGTGGGACTGGATTCTGCCTGTCCCGATGCTAGTTTGTTCCCAGTGAGACTCAGGGAGTGTTTGGGAGAGGCAGGCGGTGGTGTGCCCAGCCTCTCCAGCCCTGTGCTGACACCAGGGGTGTCTGGGCTGTGGCTGGAGCCTGGTGTGTCCTGCAAGGCAGGAGCTGGTCATAGGGAAGCAGGAAGGCACCTCGCCTGGTGCTTGTTGCAGATTGGGGTGCTTGTAGCACGAGGTGCAGCTTCACCCCTCTCTCCAGAGGTTTGTGCTGTTGGCATGATGTGTTCTAGACATGCCAAGAGCATTCACAGCTCTGGGGTTTAGAGGGAGGATGGTGAACCCCAGCGCTCCGCAGCCACGTGTCGTGGAGCTCACAGTGCCGGGCTGCGGGCAGCATGGGGTGACTTTACATCCTGGAGCTGATTCAGAGCCTTTGCTGAGACCGTGTTTAAAAAGTGCTGAGTGTAGCAGAGCCCTTCTTGCCACTTCCCCTCCTCGGGCCGCTCCTGCGCCAGCTCTTTTCACAGCTTTCAGGTTTTTGCCAAAGTCACGTCCTGTTGATGGGCTGTCGAGCTCGTGTCCCCAGCCCATGCATCCCACTTGCATCGCTGCCGGCTCTCCTGGCCCGGTGAGGATTGTAAATGGGAAATTAAAATGGAAATGAGTGTGCTGTGTGGGGATGGCAGAGGCAAACAGGCCTGTTAGCAGGTTCGGCTTGCCTTGGAAAATGCACCTGCTGCCGCGATGGTGATTACACGTTCTGGAGTGCCGGCTGCCCAGGTGCCGGTGGGAGCCGTGGGCTTGGATTACTTTGCCTGTGAATATCCCAAAGTGTTTGGCTCGCTCCCCTTTAAGCTGTTCCAACCCTCTTTACAAGGCGGTGCCAATCCTGCGTGTCGCTGAGCGCGGCTCTCTATAGACAAAACTTAATAGATAGACTTTAATCAACCCAACTGGCCTGGGGCCAGGCAATGGGGCGAGCAGGTGCTCAGCAGGGGAGGGTCGTTGGAAGGATCTTACCCGAGCGTTGCTTTGTTTTGGAGATCTCATCTGGTTGTTTAAAAGTGCCTCTTGCTGTTTTATGCTGGAGGTGCGCTTGAGGAGTCTTAAAACCAGCTGCCAAAGCCTGCGTGGAGGAAGGATGAGGTGTGGGAGCACGTAGCGTTATTCCAGCCCAGGGGCCGGGACGAGGCAGGGAGATTTGCTGGTGTAAAGCCCGATTGCCGATGTTTTCCCCCTCCGTTACAACCTGGGAAACTGAGATTGCAACACCAGACTTGTGCAGAGAAGCCAAATTCCCCTTTGCCAGGAAGCAGCCGCTTTAATGCTTCAAACTGGCTCCGTTTGGCATTTCCAGGGACTGGCGCAGTGGGGGTTTCTAACAATGAACTGCAAAGGCTGGAGGTAACCTCAGAGGCTGGAGGAGGCAGTGGGCACTCCTCACAGACGTGGACACCAGGCACCATCCTCCTCGCTGTAAGGACTTGGCTGTTAAAAGCTCTTCCCTGGTGCTGGTAGCAGCCTGAACCCACAGCGGCTGGTTCAGGGAGTTAAACAAGGTGTGAGTCCTATGGAAAATCAGCCCTAACACCCTGGGGTGCTTGGGCAGATGGGGATGGTGTCCTCTGCTCCCAGCACCCACCAACAGGGAGATCAGCCTGGCCTTGCTATTCACCCCTTGTGTTTTTGTGCATGGCATGAAACCTCGTGTTGTTTGTGCTGAGGGAGGTATGAGAAAACAGGCCTGGGACAGTGAGATGCCAGGGTTATCTGCTCTGCTCCAGAGTCTCAGAGCTGCATGGAGAGTTCCAAGCGGGAAAAGGCAGGACTGTGTCTGTCGGAAGAGACAATAAAGGGGAGTACCATGTTATTAAAGTTAACTAGGGGAACGAAAACCTAGCGAGAGGAAAGTTCTTGCTTAATGACACTTTTATTACGCAATAAACTTTGATTCACCAATCTGTCAAAATGTGCAGAGATTGCTGTAATGACAGGGGAGCGTGTTCTCTGATATTGCCTCCTTGCACCGCCGCCGTGATCCTGAAAGCAGGAGGTTTTGATTAAGCACCCGGTGTTGCAGAGCTGAACTTGATGAACCGGGAGGTTTCGGCATGACCTTTGTTAGCCTGTAAAGTCTGGTCTCTCTCCTCGCCTGGCTCTGGGTTTTCCCCCTGGCATCTAACAAGTGGTTTTGTTCTTTGAAATGAGGCAGTGTGGAAATGGCTGTTTATTGCTCACCTGAGGTGCTCCCAGCCTTGCTCTGTGCTCCTCGCCCTTGGGGCAAGGCCAGCTTCTGGCTCCTTATGCCTTTTCCTGGGCCTTTTGGGATGGATTCAGCATGATGAGGCAGTGGAGGGTTGGGCATGAATGTAAAAAGCTGATGACAGAGAGTTAAATAACCCATCAAGACTCCTGAATAGTTCATTTTGGGTATATGTAAAATATTTCCTTGGATACAGAAGATATTCTTTCAAGGGCTGATTTTCAGTTCTGACAACAGCCAACTCAGTAAGATGAGTTTTGGACTGACCTGAACCATTTTTTTTTTCAGCAGTCCTATTCTGTTCATGAAACTAAAGTGGATTATTTAAAACAAAATATATTTATTTCTTCAAATTAACATGCACCCAACCCCACTGACACAAAAGGCCACAGCATCTCCCATCACCTTTTGAATGCAGCTGCCTTTCAGCGCACTGTCTCATTGCACAGGATCCTTCTGGAGCCCAAGTGTGTGTGTAGACATGCACACAAGTGTGTGCTTCTCCAACCCTCATTTGGGTTTGCACTGTTGTTCCTAACGAGCTGCTGGCTGAAGGGCAGGGAGAGGTAGGTCTGTTGGGTCTTTGCTTTTTCCTCTGTCACTTCTTGGCAGGGCAGCTCTTGCTCTTACAAGGGGCCGGCAGCTCCATACCTTCCTCACTTCATCTCTCCTATGTTCATGCTGGAGCCTTCCCTCTCCGGTCAGAGATGTTTACTGCTGTAAAAACCTGGTGATGGTAGTAAGTGAGGGGTGGAGAAGGGGGTTTGCAGCCTATGCTGGTCACTGTGTGTTGTCCCTTTCTCTGGCCCTGGGTTGGGATATGCTTGAGGTTCCCCACTTGGGTTCTCTCCCACCTGGCTGGTTGCAAGGGAGCTTCGAGCAAGGGCAGCCCAGCTTGCTGGAGCACCGGGATCTGCCTGCCCTGAGCAAGCCATGTGTTTGCCATGGAGTTTGTACAAGTGACACGGTGGAAATTACAAGGATGGGGTGGACTGTGTGCCACAAGGGTAGAACTGCGTCTAAGGCATGCATCGACCCTAATGCTTGCCCTGGAAGAGGCTGTAATCAGCTGCAATCCCATCTCCACCATCCCAGGCTGAGGCTTTCCTGTTTTTCAGGCAGGGTGTTATCCCGGGATAGTGTCTGTAGTGCTCCTGCTTGCTGTTCCCCCCAGAGCCGTGCTTTCTTGCTGCTGTTGGCTGAATGTTTCTCGAGCGTGTAGGAGCAAACTGCGAGGATTTGCTTAGTGAGTGTCAGTGAATGAAACACAAAAGGCCTGTCAGGGGGAACTGCTGGGTAATTACTATAATTTACAGCCTACATTTTAATTTTGAGCGTTATTTTTTCAACAATAAGGGAGCAGGAATAATATCCAAACCAGGTGAAGGCAGAGCTGGGCCTGCCAGGAGCAGCTGCTCCACGTGCGCTCACTGCCTTGTGCTGGAGACTCCAGTATCCCCAGGCAGACCAGAGGGGATGGCACCTCTCAGGGAGGAGGCTTCCCGTCCCCTCCCAGGGTCAAAGGATGGGGACACAGCGCAGAAGGAGTGTTGTGGTACAAGGGGGAGAGCTGGCCAAGTCTGTGGTTAGGACACAGGCTTGATGCTGCAGAAGATTGATGCTCCAAAGGGGAGACCTGGGATCTGAGGGTGCCCAGCCAGGGCCAGTGGAGCAGGAAGATGGCATTAGAGCTGAGCTGGCCGGGGGTCCTGACTCCATACCTGCACCTTGTTTGGTAGCACTGCCTCCCTGCAGAGAGGTGGCATAATGGATGTGGAAGCTGCTAGAGTTCTGCTGCAAGTTCCTTCATACCTGTGGGGCACATCAGAGATGCACTTGCATCTGGCCACTAAAGAAGAGGTCCATCAGGAGCATGACAGGGTGGTTTCAAGGAAGGAAGAGCGTCCCCCACCACTACAAGATCACACTGAGCTGGCTGCCTGAGTGATGGTCCCTCCAGCAATGCCTCCAGCGCCTGCAGGGACATGGGCTTCCCCCTGTGCCCTGTCCTCACTGCTTTCCTTGGTGCAGCACACGGAGTCTGATGCTCACCCAGCTCTGCCCCCACAGGCTCCACAGCCCTGGAGGACTCACCTTCCTCGTGCCTTGGTTCTCCCATGTGCTGCAAAGTGCCCTGAGATCGGCAGGAGAAAGTGATGCTGCGATGCGCTAATACAGCTCAGCAATGTCAACCATGCTGTCGGGATGCCTTGGGTTCCAAAGTGCTGGTCTTTTTCCAGTATGGGGTTATGGCATGTTTAGGCTGTGCTATAGTGAGAACTGCCTTCATCCCTGCTCCCAAGAGGGTGCATGGATGTGAGAGGGGCTGGAGGATTGCACCAGGTACCATCAGGCATAGGGGAATGAGATCATTTAGTTCTTCCCCTGTAACCTTGATCTGATAATCCGTGAGCTCCCACTAAGAGACCCTTTTATGGGCTCCCTCCACCCTTGCTGAGGCCTTGGTGGAGCAGGGCAGCCATGCTGGAGAGCCTTGGGACGCGGCAGAGAGCCGCTGGGGCACGAGCTGATGGCCCATGCTGCCCCTCTGGTTTCTCCTCTGCGCTCTAAGATGCTCTCCAGGCTACTTTCCCTTCCAGCCTCTGCTTGCTGGTACCGGAGCAGAGGCCC